ATGCCTGCAGCCGCTGAAGGCAGAGGCGATGCTCACAGCGATGGCCGCGGCTCCAACCACCACCACAGGATGGTTTTGGCCCCGCTTCCGGCCATGACCACGGCCGTGGTCCCCCAGCAGCCCATCGTGGCCACCAGGGCTGACAGCTCCCGTGTCCCCTCCCCCAGGCTTCCCCTCGAGGCTCCGCACCCGCCCCGACCTCACCAAATTCCTCACCATGATCATCTTCCGCTGCTCTGCACAGCACGCAGCCGTCAACAGCGGCCAGGTGGGGAGCGTCGGCGCCCGTGGGGGTCGTGGGGTGGCCGTGGAGGGGCCAGTGGTGGCCACGGGGCTCATGGGGTGGTAGTGGGGTTCATGGGGTGGCCGTGGGGCTCTTGGGTGGCCATGGAGGGGCCATTGGTGGCCATGGGGCTCTTGGGGTGGTAGTGGGGTTCATAAGGTGGCCATGGGGGTCGTGGGGTGGCCGTGGGGCTCTTGGGTGGCCATGGAGGAGCCAGTGGTGGCCGTGGGGCTCTTGGGGTGGCCATAGGGTTTTTGGGGTGGCCATGGGGCTCTTGGGGTGGCTGTGGGGCTCATGGGGTGGTAGTGGGGTTCATGGGGTGGCCATGGGGCTCATGGGGTGGCCGTGGGGTTCATAAGGTGGCCGTGGGGGTCGTGGGGTGGCCTTGGGGCTCTTGGGTGGCCATGGAAGGGCCATTGGTGGCTGTGGGGCTCTTGGGGTGGCCATAGGGTTTTTGGGGTGGCCTTGGGGCTCTTGGGTGGCCATGGAGGGGCCATTGGTGGCCGTGGGGCTCTTGGGGTGGCCGTGGGGTTCATAAGGTGGCCGTGAGGGTCGTGGGGTGGCCTGGGGCTCTTGGGTGGCCATGGAGGGGCCATTGGTGGCCATGGGGCTTCTGGGGTGACTGTGGGGTTCATGGGGTGGCCTTGGGGCTCTTTGGTGGCCATGGAGGGGTCATTGGTGGCCATGGGGCGTTTGGAGTGGCCGTGGGGCTCTTGGGTGGCCATGGAGGGGCCATTGGTGGCCGTGGGGCTTTTGGAGTGGCTGTGGGGCTCATGGGGTGGTAGTGGGGTCAATGGGGTGGCCTTGAGGCTCTTGGGTGGCCATGCAGGAGCCTTTGGTGGCCATGGGGCCTTTGGAGTGGCTGTGGGATTCATGGGGTGGCCGTGGGGCTCATGGGTGGCCATGGAGGGGCCATTGGTGGCCATGGAGCTTTTGGGGTGGCCGTGGGGACTCGTGGAACAGCTGGGAGGAAGAACAAAGAACACATGGTGGCCCCAAAGGGGTGCTTGGTAGCCACAAGGAGCCCTTTGGTAGCCACAAGGAGCCCTTTGGTAGCCACAGCAGCCCTTTGGTAGCCACCAGGGGCCCTTTGGTAGCCACAAGGAGCCCTTTGGTAGCCACAGCACCCTTTGGTAGCCACAGCAGCCCTTTGGTAGCCACAGCACCCTTTGGTAGCCACCAGGGGCCCTTTGGTAGCCACAGCACCCTTTGGTAGCCACAGCACCCTTTGGTAGCCACAGCAGCCCTTTGG